ATGGTGGTCTGCGGTTGTAACCATTTACGACAACCGTAGATTCCCTATTAGGGTCAGAGCAATTTGAGAAATGATTGATAAAACTATTAATTTCTACCGTGACATTCCAGGTGGAATTTTAATTGCTGGTGTAGAATTCCGTTAAAAATAGGGGTAAATGTGGCTACTTTTCTAACGGCAGGGACTTAAATGTGCTGATAGTATAACGGGGGACAATATAATACTATTTTTCAAAGTAGAGGGATATATCAGGCCCTTTTCCCAATTATCAACTATATATAGCTCAGCCAGGGGCAACTTCGTCCAAATATTACGAAAAATTACACTATATATATAAGTAAAATTTTAGATGTATAAAATATATATTGAACACCCTTTGTCGAGAATTTTTTTTTATTTCTTTCAAGTTTGAACGCCCTTATAAATATTTCTGGCTTCGCTACTGAGTCCATCCAAAAGAAGTTGTGGGTGAGGCCACAGTACATATGGGGTATCCGCCCACGTTAAGAAGTCCATTATCCACAAATCTATTGCTTATTTATTTTCTTTTTTAGCCTCAACATTTGAAGTCCAACTATCAACTAAACAAACAAATAGATCAAAAAGAAATAAGGGGGGGGGGGGGAGGGGGGGGGGAAGTGGGTCAAAAGACAGGGTCTCTTCACTTTAACAACCAGGCTTTTGCATCAAACCAGCCTTTGAGAAAAATAAAATAAAAGAAAGCAGAGACTCCTAATGAAATGCATTAAAATTGGAAACCTCCGTAATAAACTTTTTCAAATAAATAAGATGTTCAGTTATTTGAATAAGAATTCCATAAAATGCATAAAGGTTTTTATCAGTGCCCTTTTAATTTTTGGGATATAACACAACTTGTTATTGTAACAACATCGTGAAACCTTGTCTTTACTTATTTTCTGATAACTGACACAAATATTTGCAATATCATCAGGTTATCACTTATCACCTAGGGTGGACACCAAATTGAGTCGGTTGGGTTTGAGATTAGTTCATCACTGTAGTAATCTTGGTTGAGCTCGATTCTAGTACGAGTAGTCTTAATTAATATAATATTTCATTCGTCCCAATTTAATTGAATATATCTGACTGAAGCATAGAGTTTAAGAAAAAAATAAAGGCTTTTAAAACTTGTAATCTTAAACAAGCCATAATATTTCTGTGGCTATAATTCGTTTGAAAGTTGTGGTGTTAACTGCCAAAATATTTATGTGCCTATAAAAGTTTCTCATTAATGGTATAATTGAAAGTTTAAGTTAAATTATTTCTCAATTTAGAAAGGATCATTCTATTCGAAACGAAAAAAAAAAAAAAAAAATTCACATAAACTAAAATGGATGAAATATGTCAAAAGTTCAATTAAGTTCGACTTGACAAGTTTGACTCGACTTGACACAACGTCACGTTTTGGTTGAATTAGACTCGATCCTTAGCCCCATTTACGACATTTTCTGACACTTCCAAAGTTCAAACCAAAAAGCTTCGGATGTTGATGAAATCCGCTTCCCGTAAAAGCACAAATAAAAGAAGGAAAAAACATTCAAAAAGGAAAACAAGAAAGGGAGAGACTTGACAAAAGTGGTCCACTTCATTTAATTCAATAAATAGTTTTAAGTACATGCTCTCACTAAATTCATTGAATCAAAAGTACAAGTTCTTTATTTCCTAACAAATTATTTTACTATTTCCCTTTCTAATATACACAATGCTTCAACTGTACCAACTGGTACATTATTCAGATAAGTATAGTTAAAATTATTTAAAAGAAAACTTGCACTAGCAGTACATTTTTGTTGCAGCGCATTTGATTCTTGAATATTCATCTGCGGCAGAAGAATAGGTGAAAAACAGCAAGGGTCATGGCTTCTTTACTGCGTTTTTTTTTTCTCGAATCTATCAAAGTAAATCGAACTTACTTATTTTTGCTCCAGGATAATTTTTTTACTCGCTCGATCTATGTGAAATTGTATGTTCACATCTGTTTTTCATTTTTTTACGAAAATATTCTCCACTGTTACTGTATTTAGAGAATTAAATAATCTTTACTACAAGTTCTTACATATCTTCTGAGTTCTAATATTATTAGCTGTAGGATTTTTGGATTTAAACTACTTTTTTGTTAACTTTTCTGTACTCTCTTTCCGGTTGTTAAGACACTATGTTTACTTAAGAGAAACATTTTATTGTATATGCATTAATGCTTTTTCTACTTTACTGTAGAAAATATAAAACCTGAACTTTTATCTCCACTTAATTATATACTAGCCTCAAGCTAATCATTTAACTTCTCCTTTAGTACCTATTCCCAATAAAATAGATTAAATAAATGCAACATCCAATAAAATGGGTTAACAATAAAATGATACAGAGAGAACCCATACCATTTCCAAAATAAATAAAATTGATTTGTGTCTAATATTGCAATTTGTAATGGATGGATTGTGTCTATTAATTATTACTCATATAAATCTACAATTTCTCAAAATAGAAAATAAATTGAAAGACAGATCATTTCATAGTTATCAAAATTGCATCAGGATTATTTTACTTCTTCTACTTAATTAGATACTTAATAAGTAACATACATGTGCATATTGACCAAGATAATATAAAATAAGAAAAACTTATCATTTTTCCACCTCCCAAGATCATCAATTTTTATATTAATTTATCATATGAGCCGTTGTTAAACTCCACCAGTATGTTCTTAATCACAATTAAGAAAAGCCACTGATTGTGCAAAGGTACTCTGTCTTTAGAAAAAGAAAAAATACTAGTAAAACTTGTCATAACACCTATGTATACATGTAATAATGAAAATGATTCACCCAATGTTTATAGCTGTCTTAATTAGATAAGATTATTACAAAGTTCCAAATCTTCATGTAAGCTTTCCAAGAACAGGACAAGATATGTACCACATTGTAAACTTTGTTAAAGGACAAAATTACCCTTTGCAGTGTGAAGAAATTACAAAGTGACCAGCAAAAAACAAGCTACTTCAAAGGGCAGTCCTGTCAAAAAGAAAGATTATTTTGTGTATTAATTGAGAAGTGCAGAGTCTCACATGGCTTAGAAGTTAGGCTCATGTGAGTGTGACCACATGCCTAGAACTCCTCCCATGTTATTATGAACTATCTATTAGTTAGGTTATATGAAGGGTCAAACTGCTAAAGAACCCTCTTCCTTTGACTAATGGATACTCCTGATTTTTTTATTTTATACTCCTTCCCGTCCACAATAAGTGACCAATTTGTCATGGACACACCCATTAAGGAAATACTAAATTCTTGATAAAAATAGTTAGTGTGAGTAAACTACCCTTAATTAAACATTACAGCATAGTTAATATGAAGAGTAAAAGACTTTTTAGGGATACATACATAAGGGTAATTTTGAAAAAATAAATTGAATTTTTTCTTGGTTATATAAATGGATATTTATTTTGGACCAAAATAAAAAGGCAAATTGATCACTTATTTTGCTTCGAATGGTGTATGTTATAGAGTTAGTGAAACTGAAATCGGAATGGATATGATTTATTACATACAGTATAAGAGGGTGTTTGGATTGACTTATAAAAAGTCTAGCTTTTAAGCTAAAAGCCAAAAGTCATAAGTTGGTAATACCCAACTTTTGGCTTATTTTTGTACTTTTTATGCCTTAAAGTAAGTGCTTTTAAGTACTTTTTATCATTGCCAAACACCACCACAAACTAAAAAGTGCTTAAAAGCCAATAAGCACTTAAAATAAACCAATCCAAATACCCTCTAATAGCCTGTTTGGCCAAGCTTCTTTTTGGCCAAAAGTGCTTTTTTTTTTGCCAAAAGTTGAGGTGTTTGGCCAAGCTTTTGGAAGGAAAAAAATGCTTTTGAGGAGAAGCAGAAGCAGTTTTGGAGAAGCACAAGTAGCTTCTCTCCAAAAACACTTTTTTGAGAACACTTTTGAGAAAAATATACTTAGAAGCAGTTTTTTAAAGCTTGGTCAAACACTAATTGCTGCTCAGAAGTGCTTTTCAAACTAATTAACCAAACACAAACTGCTTCTCACCAAAAGTACTATTGAGAAAAGCACTTTTGAAAAAAAGCACTCTCCAAAATAAGCTGATTTTTGCAGCTTGACCTAACGGACTATAAGTCTTGCTAAATTCACATGTATACGATCCAAGTCGAAATTAGGTGCAATTATATCTACCGTCAAGGTAGATCTGAATAGAAGAAATTGACTATGATAAAGATTTTTAAAATTGTATTAATGAATCTTAATTGTTACTTTTTGCCGATCTCCTACAAAAATAATCATACAACTAAAGAACATTTGTAATGGACCATAAAATCAGATCTCCTGGGTGCTGAGATGGGGGCTATATTCTACCTTTCACTTTCAAGGAAAGTTTCCCATTGTTACACCAATAATGACAGCTTCTTGCGCCGCTTTGTCATTTTAATTGAATCATGGGCATTTTGACATCTGAGAAAAATGGCATCCAAATTCACCAGACCAACTATTTTGCTCAACTTAGTCGACGGATTACTTCTTTAAACAGAAGTTTTACTAGGTTCATTCTACTGTTCTACTGGTGAATATTACAGAAGCTTTTCATTTATTTTGTAATTCCAACTAAACTTCACATCCTTATTACTATTTTAAAAATTCTGTCGTTTGCAAAATTATAAATCGAAGACTGTGAGTTAATTTAACCCCCCCCCCCCCCGGGCCTAAAAAGAAAAAAAAAAGTTTAAGGCAAAAACAACAAACTAGAGAAGTAGAAACTTCTCTTTTTTCTAGGAGTTAAAAAACAAAAGTAAGAAATATCAAAGTATCACTTTATTGTCCTATGTATTGCTGATTATTTGAATCCATTATTTGACAGTAAGATACCATGGTAGAAAAGCTTTTGTCTTTAGTTCCAAAGGTGTCCATGTGCTGTTCCCATATTCTAATACATAACCTTACTTCATTTGTTTCTACTTCTCCAGACCACTTGGTTTAAATATTCTCACCCTCCTTTAACATTTACTACTAGCAAATAACAAATACAACAGCACACAAATGTCATTACTTCTATATTTCCTCCCCTTATAAAGTATACAAACTTAGGTTCTTACCTTTATCCAACTACATTTCCTCAGTCTCTATCTCTCCCCTTTGTTTCTTGGTAAAACTAACATGGTTTCCTTAGAAGTTGCCTCTAGATCCGATGAGCCAACTTCTAGTCCCCGAATTTCCTTCTCTTCAGAATTTCTTGATGAGAAAAACTTCATATCCATTACTCCAAATGCACAAACAGAGAAAGAACGAAAAGATCAGCAAGAGAGAGCGCGTAGTGCAGCAGATTTTGAATTCTTTTCAAGCAAGTTAACCAGCGAAAAGATGATCACAGCGGACGAGCTGTTCTTCGAGGGTAAGTTACGTCCTTATTGGCAAATGCATTATGCTGAAAAGCTAAACAAGATTAGTTTAAAAACTGAACATGCCGAGGAAGAAATATTGAAAGAAACTGAGGTGAAGAGCAAGGAAGAAAGTAGGCCTATAAATTGGTTCATTGATGAGGATCCATCACCTAGGCCACCAAAATGCACTGTTTTATGGAAAGAGTTATTGAGATTGAAGCAAAAGAGAGCTTCTTCATTATCACCGTCTTCTTCTACTTCTTCCTCCTCTTCTTCGAGTTCTATTGCTGATATTTCTGTAGCAGAACATGAAAAAAGCAAAGGTCAAGGAATCAAAGAGAAGAATGTGAAGAGAATTAAGAAAGGATTGGAGAGAAGTCGATCAGCAACTTTAAGAGTTAGACCTGTGATTCATATGCCACTTTGCACTCAGGGGAAAAACACAGCACTGCCGCCTATGTTTTCCCTTAAGAAAGGAAAAACACTCGAGAGGTGAAAACAACTTGCCATTGTTGGTCATTGTGTAGAGATGTTCTTTAATGGTTTTTTTTTTTTTTTCAATTCGTTTTGGTTTCGATGCTTATTTTCATTTCTTTCATCGCCTGCATTTTAGCTTACATGTTTCATCGTAGGATCTGATGAATTACCATGTTGATGTGTTCATTTCTTGTAATGTATGAGAAACTAATTCCATCTAGTTTCAAGAGTTATTGTAATCTGACATTTCTAGCTTCCATTTTCAGACTAAAAAATATTGAACCAACTAGGCATATGCCTCTTGAATTTCTTTTGGAGTTGTGGATGTTTACTTTCTACATTCCGTAGTTTTTAGGCACATTTCTCCATTTAATGTTTCATTGTAGAGGGAAAGGAAGAAAGTAATTCACTTTACAATCAACTGAAAAACAATCATATAGCATCACTTTCATAATAAATAGTAAGAGTTACAAACATGTTTATACAATTGAGTTTCAGTACGTATGAATCAAAGGCAAACTTTTTGAGTTACAGAAAGAGAAAAATACAGAAGAATGACTGAAAACCTCAAAGACTGTACATACAGCTATGGACACAAAAAATTACAGCAAAATTCCATTTTACTAGACTATTTGGCTAGACAATGTGCTGGCAACCAATTTGAATAATTGGTGTTGGTGAGTGTATTCCGGAGTTCCAATAAATGAACTTTCAAGATTTTTTTTTTCCAAAGCTTCAAGATAGCAAAAGAGGTTCTGAAATCTAATGCCGAAAACTGAATATTTTATACTTGTCAATGTCCAAAGGAGCAAGGACAACCTCCTTCATTTAGGGGGTTGTGACAAGAATGGATTCCCAGGGGTGGTCCTACAAAGAAAGCAACCGAACAATTTTATTAATAGTGAACAAAAGTAAAAAGCAAAAGCAATGAAAAAAAATATTGCAATTGCAATGCACGAGTACCTGAGGTTCAGCTTTGGATTTCCAAGAAGGCTGCTTGGTACATTGCCAGTCAAATTATTGTTCTGCAAGAAGCTGCAGCAAATAATACTGTTATTTAAAAAAACTCAACATAGACAGTGTTAGTCTAAGCATAAAATAAGATGAGTATATATAACATCAAGCAAGTTCCTCCATTTTTTCCTTTTGCAGGACATCAACTTACACATTATAACATCATTTGCATCTCTTGACAAAATGATATTTCATGGAATTTCTTTTTCCCGTAAAATAATGTAGGGTGGAAATTTAAGGGAAATATTGTGTGAAATAACGCCAATAACAGATGAACTATAAATGATGCTTTAGGATCAACATGAACGTGCATGATTTCCAGGTGTACACTGATATTCAACTGACCTGACAATATGTATAATATTTCGGGGAAAAAAAGAAGAAGATATATTTCAGAAACACATGCAAACCAATCCATCTATCTTTTATTTCTCTTTAAATTAGCATTTGGTATCACAAAAATTATCTCTATTGTGGTCGCTTAGAAAGGGAAAAAAAAAACGAAAAACAGAATTAGGATGTACCTTATGAAATGAAATTCTAGGAGCAAAGTTATATATCGAAAGCAGTCAACGATGCTCAAGATAACGACTTAGAAAGACAGATTTTCAAATGTTATTAGCTTTTATGAGCTCTGATCAAATGAATACTTTGTAGTGGAATATTTATAAAATGGGTGTTATCTCGTGGGCTGTAATGGTGATTTTGCCTGATAGAGATCCAGTTGGTAAGTGACCAAGAAATTTCTGAGCCATGTACAACTGTAGTAACCTTAGCTCTTTGCTTTCTTTGTTTGAGAAATATTATTCACCCTAAACAACTTCACCACTTGCATCCCGAAACTAGAACTATCATAGGTTAAGCTCTGTGATCCTGTTTCTCTTGTACCTCATAAATTTTGCAGTAGTCCAAATATTAGAACTAGGGGGGAGACAAATACAGTAAAGGTCAATAAACATGTTTATCATGTACTTCATGTGTTTGGATAGTGGTCCAATATTGGTTTTATTACTTCTCAAAAATTCTCCAATTTAATAGGAGAAACGGTGTGATCATCCAGAAAGTATTCAAAGTGCGGACCCACAATCTTTATCAAGAATTTACAAGCAAGTAGGGTCAGAATACTTTTAGAATAACCAAGAATATATATATTGACAATTTTAGCAACTACCAGGAAGCGGTGGAAAACTTTGCTAGACTTCAGCATTAGGATTCTGAACGGCTTTATATTAGTCTCCCAGATTCTCAAACCCTGAAACACAAGGACACAAATTTCTAGTGGATCCGATTATGTGACTAGGATTTCCTACTCCTTTCTCAAAGTTTTGACATATTTTCAAGCAATACCTTTTTGCTTGTTATTCCTTTGAGTTCTCTCCTTTTCCAACTTGAGCAATTGATCTATAAAATTATAGAATGTGCAAGTGGAAAGCTCATCTCACACATGAGATCGATGAAAACCTCAATTTGACAGTTGGACTCTCATATTAAAGAGATCTATGGCTGCTCTATCATCCATCAATTTAAATATCTGACACAAATTTTCCTAAAACCTGCTCCAACGTCTTGAAAATGCTCTCTTTACCATGAGAAAACCACTTAACAGACACTATTATAGGTACTTAATTAAGAGTTTAGCTGCATAACCACATCTACCAGTCTGTGGGTCCAGCAATCCTAATTCCCTCGCTTAGCATAAGTCAAATGGTGCTGTGTCCCCCCATCACCCACTTTCCCCGGCTGAGAGAATATCTAACAAATCCTATGAGAGGTGGTTATAGAAACAGTACTTATACTAGCACCGTAGGGCTACTATACTTGAGAAAAACTTTAGTGCTGCATATCAGTAATTGATATCTGTGCAAACACAGAGAGACCAAAATCCACAACGTATTATACTCATTTTGTTTAATTATGTAAAGCCAAACTTACATTTCATTAAGGCTCTTAATGTTTCCAAGAGATGGCGGAATTTCCCCACTAAGCTGATTGTCTTCCAAATGCCTGAAACAAAAGACAAGAGTAAAGAGTATTAGGAATAGATAGATTTAAAGTTAGGCAAGGTTGAAGTAGCTTGCATGCTTTTTGGCGCCAATTACCACGTCCACAAAGTTGAGCATCTACATTTAAGCAAAGTCTTGAAAGCCATGGTAAAACACAAAAGTGTAAGTGGTATCAAGAACTACAAGATCAAGAGTTTATTTTTTGACTTTTTCATAAAAGCTTGGGCTGTACTGAACAAAGTGCATTATTGCAAAGCAATTAGGAAGAAGAACTACAGAAACTAACTTACAAAATCTCCAGGTTACTCAATGAGCTCAGATCTGGTATAGATCCCGTTAAACTATTATTCCCGAGCCATCTGTGTTAAATAAGAGACTTAAGAAATTTATTTGCAGCTGTTAATCTATCAGCAGATAAGAACTTTATATTCACGTACATGCCACTCAATGCTGTCAATCTGGAAATGCTAGGTGAAATTGTGCCGGAAAGACCCATGCTCGTTAGGTTTCTGCAGACGATAGAACACAAGGAACACAAGTTAGTAGATATAATCACATGCACAACCATAATTTGGCTTGGGGTAAGGTAAACTACTCTCTTTTTTCCCTTTCTTTCTTTTCTTTTGGCAGGGGAGGGGAGGAGTTTGAGGCTCATGGAGTAAGAGACATCTGAACTCACAAAGTAATTACACGAATTCGTGGTCCTCCAGCACATGTAACTCCAGTCCATGGGTATTGAGGGGGTAAACACGGATCACCATTCCAATCAGGGGGAGGATTCTTGAAACTCTCCTTCAATCTTTCCAGAGCAATCACTGCAGAAGAAATATATTGCACTAGTGTCATAAGAGATAACTAATCTACAGAAAAAGAAGTAAAATTGATCTGGACTGAAAGGAGTTAGCCTTTGATCATCAGATTACAAGTTAAATCAAGTTCTTTGGCGGGCCACAAATCAAATATTTGAAACACAGTTAATAGCTATTTCACCACGGAGACTGGTCCAAAAGTGATTACTTGGAGACTAACAATCCTAGAAGACAGCTCATACTGTCCAAGTAATAGGTTTATATTCAACACAGGCAAAGCAGATTACCGTCTCGAGTATGAGTTTTTCCACCGAGGGGAAGCACTTCAAAAACCTCTCCTGCATTAATCAACGGGCCAATTCTTGATCCAACCAGAGGAGTCAATGTTATCTTCGTATTACCACTCAGAGGCCACTGATTTGCAAACACGACCATACCAGCTGGAGAAACATTAAGGTTGGGATAAAACAATATGTCATTTATGCTTATGTTGAATGCTCTTCCGGAAAATGAATCTTGATCTTCAGCAAAATAAAGAGCTATGTAATATGTTGCATTTGGGAGAGGTGCTGGAGGCCATAATAACTCCATAGGTTCAACCTGACTGATTGTGAACCGTGTCTGAAATACTTTTGCAGGGGGGTGATTCCAGATAGTAGAAACAGCAACACGACTGACACTTTCTGCAGGAGAATGTTGTCCATAGGGCTCCCAGTAACGATCAAACTCATCATCAGGATATCTGGCAGGTGAAAATGCTTGCAGTTATGATAAGCATAACCAAAAGAAACTAGTAATTAAAGAGACTCGAGTCTATTCATAGTTGGACAGTTTATCAACTATATATGTTAAGAGGCAACTTTTCTTGCTTTAGTTATACTTGGAAACAATTTTCGGGAATGTGCCACGAAATTATTCCAACAAAGACTGTTATCTGTTAGAGAAATAACCATGCCAAGGCATTTTTCTATCTTCGCTGCAATAAATTTAGGAGAGACAAGGGAAAGGATAGATTCTTTGTAGTCTGAAGCCTGTTTCAAATGAATACTAAGAATGAAGACCCAAAGACTCAAAGGTTTTCAATTCACATTTTGATCAAACAAAGATAAGAATATGGATTTCTACAAGAACCTTTTTGACATCTATAATTTGGGTGAATAGTGGAATAGAATAAGACTTGCTTCCAGATTTTTCCTGGGATTGTCTTAGTTGATTTCGTACTTTCTTTCTCTTTTTCTGCATGATAATTAGTTTCACAAGCCAACAGATGGATTCCTTGAAGAAGAAAAAAAAAAAAGCAACTTTTTGGCACCTTAATATCTAAAGGAGTTAGTCAGACTAATCAAACCAAATTACAGCAGATTTAAATGTTTCTATGTTAAAAGTTAAAACTTAGAACTTCTAAAATCTTAAATTTCAGGAGAAAGTGATGGTCAATAGGGCTTGAAATACAAATATTGTTAACCATTTTAACACCAATGGGATTCAGGTTTACATAAATTGCAACTTGCAAGTATTTGAATTGCATTGTTGGTGACATCTCGGAATTCAGGTATCATTATTGAAGCTTATTACCAACTAAATTAAAGCAAAAACAGTTTTTAGTCAAAGCTAACGACTTTAGGTTACCTGATAATTGATCCATTGTTCCCAAAGCTGCTCCTTGCAATCAAAGTCAAAGCATAAGTGGTAAAATCAGTAGAATTATACAAAGAATCAGACACTAAAACAAGCTCCAAAGCAGATATAAAAGGGTCCGAATCGGTTAAACTATTAGCAGCCAAACAAACACTCATAGTCTTTCCTATAGCCATGAAAACCCCTTCATAATAAGAAGACATTCCATGCCAATAATCCTCAGTTGTATTCACTGGACTCCAAAATGTTCCATCCACAATTTGATCAAACACAGGAGGATTCAACTTCCCATTAACCCCACCATAAAAATACGTTGTCCTAACCAAATATTTCCCTCCACGATAAACAGGAACCTCATAGCAGAATTTCTTGAAAACATTGTTCTGTAGGGGGAATATACGGACAGTTGACAGTGTGGAATCAAGAACTTGTACTGTAACGCTCTTTGGTATTCCTGCTGATATGAAACCAGTATCTGACACCCATTTTTGTTCATTAAACACAGAATCAACTGAAGCACCACAATCAATCAGAACACCTGAAACCAACAAAAGAAACAAGAGAAGTTGAAATCTTGAAATAAAGTTGCAAATTTTTGACAAAAAATAAATTTCTGCACTAAAGCACCATAATCAATCAGAAACAGCATACAAAACAATAAAGTTGAAATCTTGAACTAAAGTTGATTTTTTTTGTTTTAGAATTTCACCAAATAGATCAAATTTGTCAAAGGCAAATGATGAAATAGGTAAAAGGGTTTACCTCTTAGGGATTGAGAAAGACAAGGGAAGAAAAAAAGGGAAAGAAAGAAGAAAAGGAAAGAGGAAGAGAAGGAGGACATGGTTAATGATTATGGTTGAAGAAAGAAAGAGTCATTTTTTAGACAATAGAGAAAAGGGTAAGGGGAGTTGAGAAGTTGAATGAGTCGTGGAGTGAGTCAAGCAAGAAAAGAATAGAAATGAGGAGAAAGAGAGAGGTGAAGTTGGTGAAGAGGAAAGAATCAAAGTAGAATGCCATTTTCGGCTATTGTTTTTTGGGTGAAGGGACGCGGGAAGGAACCAGGTCAGCCTGCTTCACTTTGCTGCCATTTGCGGGTTAGGTAATTTCCTTCTTTTTTTTTTTTGGTTTTGTTTCTCAATTAAAAGAGATTAAAAAAAAAATATGATGTGATCAAGCAACTTATAGAGTTTTAGAATTCAAAACATGGTCGGGTTTGGGTATTTTAGTATTGAACCGTTTGACATGGATAAAAAAACCAGGTGGCAACATTTAACTCGGTATTCATTACACCTGAGATTTATGTATACACAAGCGCTATATTTTTTGCACTAGTTTCAACTTTTGTGTTAAAGTGGAACATAAGAAATAGAGTTGGAGGGCCAAAATAGAACATATAAAATGGAGTTGGAGGGCCAAAATGAAATAAGGTAGAGATAGAGTGCCAAAATAAAAAATGATGCCAAATCGAATGGGTTATATATGTATTTGGCCATCTTTTTGCCAATGAAAATGAATGAACAAAAAGTAATTCATTATCTCAAAAAACGTTAAACTCTACATTTTAAAATTTAATTCTTCCTAGTCCAATTCTTGATTCGAGTTAATTGGACGCACGATGAGGCCACAAAAGCTTTTGTTTCCGCTTCTTTTTCATTCTTTTTTCTCATGTAACAAGTCAAGGCTTTGAAATATTTTTATAAAAAATTGTCAAGGAACCTAGACCACCTCGCACATCCGGTTGCCTATGCAACGTGTGATCTTTTGGTATGAGGAATTGTTGGTGTCTTGGCCTTTATGGTGGAAGAACACAACCATAATTGTCGTTTTCTCTGATGAATTTCATACTCGTAGCTAGAAGCGAACAGTAAATACATAGGAACATTGCAAATGTTGAGAAAATTAAAAGAAGGCAAGTGCTGAAGTTCGATTTTTGAAACTGGTTACTTGCATAGAGTTTCTGAATTGCTTCTTCGTTTGACTGAAGGATCAAGAAAATCTCAATGATTATATATAGATTGAGCATCAACAATTCAACGTTGTAACACAAATTCTACACATCGCTTTGAGATCGTGAACTTTAAAATCCTTAGATATATATGTAATATGAAAACTTAAACTAATAAATGAATTTAAGTGGTATGTTTAAACACAACAATTCTGATTCTTGATGCACGGTGAAGATATTCAATTTTTTAAACTAGTAACTGAAGTCAATTACGTGAAAATATCTCGCCTCATGATATTTGAACCGAACTGGAAAATCGCACCAAATCGAAAGTCAAAACGAATCGATAAAAAAACCCGATTAGGCTTGGTTTTGTTTAATTTAGTATTGAGTAAAAAAAAAATCGAACCAAACTTATATAATAAAAAAATTTCTACTTTTAAAATCTTATCTATAATTTTTTTTTAAAATTGTTTAGAAATATTTGCCATCATCCCATGGGATGTAATAATAGAACTATAAAGTGCATTCATTTTGTGACGACCGATAGGTCGTTTCGAGTACTAGCCCTTATTACCGTGTTTCGAGGCCTCTATTAGCTTCATTTGATATTTCTTGGATTGCGTGCATGGTCTGTGTCGCTTAAGCTTTTATATGAAATTTTGATAAAAATAAAAATCTTGACTAAAAATGAGGCTAGAGTTGACCACAAATAATATTTTGGATAAACGACCCTCGGATCGGTATTTTGGGCATTCTGGTAGGTCTGTATTGTTATTTTGGACTTGGGTGTATGCCCGAAATTGAATTCGGAAGTTCCTAGTTGATTTGACTTGTTTTGCCTCAAATTAGCAATTTGAATGTTTGGAAACCTAAGTTTGACCGTATGTTGATGTTATGGTTATCGGGTTCAGATTTTAATTTTTGGAATTTGGAATAGGTCCGTTTTGAGATTTAACATCAAATTCATGAGAATCTAAGAGAAAGTTTGGGAATTTTTGTCTATGTTTTGTAAAATAAAAATTTTGGGATTGAGAGACGAATTGGACTCGGATTTTGAAATAAAATACATATATGGACTTGTGAGGTTATGGGTACTCAAGGTCTACTCTTGGACCCAGATATTGACCGGGCGAGCTCGGGGTTAACTTTTTCCAATTTTACTAAAGATCGAATCTTTTTCCACTCGTGGTTAGTTTCTAAAGCTTATATTGAATTATTTGAACTATACTTGGCCAGATTTGACTGGTTTGGAGGCTAATTCTAAAGGAAAGGCTGTGGTCGAGTGTTGATTTGATTATGGAAAGAGATAACTGTTGTGTCTAACGTTGGCTTGAGGGAATTACGACTTGTTGGACTATTTGCTATACTAATTATGTGGGGAAACAATGTATATGCGAGGTGACGAGTGTATATGCGTCGTCATGGGATCCAAGCATGCGGGATTTGGCTATTTACTTCCATATCTTCTTTTACTCTATGTTATCTCTTGTTACATGATTTAATTGCTATAGGTTCTTACTTGTTATCCATATCTTACTTGTTATTTGTTGTTTATCTATTACTTGTTTTGATTGTATATTAATCACCCAATATATGTTCACTTGCTATATGTTTCTAATTGTATTAATTGTATATTTCCATTATCTCATGTTCTACTTGCTTTTATCGTTCTTATATTACTTGAAGTACTTTATTTTGTTATTCTGTTCATGTGCACCATCAAGCTATTTGATACTATTATTTTGCCAGGGTTTGGGATTTCGAAGTATTAGTTATTCTCTGTTTATTTGGTAGTTCCTTATTGTTTCGTATGTTTCATCTCTCCTTTGTATTGGTATTTTGTAAATATTGGTGTTGAGTTCTTTAAGTAAATTTGAAATTGTTGGAATCGGATTGCACATCGCAACAATATTGAAATGAATTGATATGGTGGAATCGGGTTGCACGCCGCAAAGATATTGAAATGATATGATATGAAGAGATAAAAGAATATGATATGAACAGATGATGATATGGTGGGATCAGGTTGCGCGCCGCCACGGATATGATGTGTTGTAAGTTGTTTGTTGATGTAGAGATTGTTCTCGGTATTGTGATATAAGATTTGAAAATATGTTATTTTGGGGCCCTCTAGTAGTTGGCCTACGAGTCCGGCTATTTGAGTTTACTGTTTTATTTCTATTCCAGTTTCTGTTATTATTGTTTCGTGCAGGTTTATTGTGAGTGTCTTGTCATAGTATTGTCACTACTTCGTCGAGGTTAGGCTGGGCACTTACACATTACATGGGGCCACATAGTCATCGCATAATCCCCTTGGAATTTTGCGAGGGGCAGTTCTACGCTGCATTATGCGACCGCAGAACAGGTATGCGGACCGCATTTCTGTCGCATACCCAGATAGTGTGTTCAGGTTTTGGGACCATTTTTGCGGTCCATTTTGCGGGCCGCATGTCTGGTATGCGATTGCATATGCGATCGCAGATCATGTCAGGGCTCCTATTTTCTAACTTTTAAAACCCGACCCCATTCCATTAAAAACACCCCGTTAGACCATTTTTCTATCATTTCACTATATATAGAGTGAGAGGGGAAGCTCTAGAGAGGGAGAGAGTGATCTTCATCAAGTCCCCACTCAACCCTTGCCCCAAATCCTTGAAGATTGTCAAGTGAAATTGCTAGGTCTTCACCCTAAAAGGTAAGAACTTGTACCCTCATCTATAATTTCGAAATTTCTAATTAATTAAGTGATTAGCAAGTGGGTTCATGGGTATAAGGGCTGATAATCTTGCATGCATGAAAGATAACGGGGTATGGGGAGGTTGTTAATCAAAAGGATCGCAATTGTGGTATAAGATAACAAAAATCCCTCACAAAAGGGTCCTAGAATCACTGTGCACACTTAGTGCTTGGTAATATGCTCAAATGAGCTAGAATCCTAATCATGTCTCTAATTCTTGGTTCAATTTGCAATTCGTATAAAATAGATTGAAGTACTAAGAGTCCCGGAATTTATTATAAAGACTTAAGGAAAGCTCTATTGAGGTATGTATGGCTAAAACCCCCTCCTCTTAGAAATTGATCTTCCATGGTGGCCGTGCAAATGTTGTAAGTTCGAAACTTGATTGATGGAGTACTTGTACGTTAAATAAATTGATGTTGTAAAAATGGTCGTGGAAGGTACTTCTTCATGTGTTTAATGTGTTACTCCCATTGAATTAAGGATGTGTGGTGAATGGAACATGAGCTATGTGCTAAATGCCTAAATGTCAAGTCAAGGTTGCATTGTGATTGATATGCCGAACTAGATAAATTCCTCTCTATGCTTATAACCTAAACTGCTTTTGTATGTGCCTATGGTCTTAAGTGGTAAAGTAAATGTTGAAATTGGGAATAATGTGAAATGTGAGTTATGGGATGTGGTAATTGTGGCCCCAAATGCCGATGAAATAATACATGTGTAACCAAAGATGGGGAGTGAGAATGAAATAATGGTAACGTCTGGGGGAGACGGCTTAGACGATCGGGCCGTGATCAGACGCCATGTTATGCACACGTGGTGGTAATGTATCGATGATTGAAACTGGAAAGTGAAAATGAAATAATGGTAACGTCTCGGGGCGACGGCTTAGCCGATCGGGCCGTGATCGGACTCCGCTCAAGGAAGCGGTGGTAATGTGGATAATGATGCAACACTATGGGATGCCCTAATCTAAAATCTCAGAAACTTTGTGAAAATTATGTGAACCTCTTATATTGTTGATGTGGTGCTTATTTGAAACTTTGTTGTCTTTATGATTTCCTCTTTACTCTTGTATGGTTGTTCTTTCTAACAGGATGGTGTTTAGTTATACATACTAGTACTATTCCATGGTACTAACGCCCCTTTTGATGGGGGTGCTACATTTTTAAATGAATGTAGGTGGCCCATAGCGGATAGTGCCGATCGCGCGTAGCGGAGCATCCTCCTCTCAAAGTCTTGGTGAGCCCCTTTCTCCTTCCAGGGGTTATGTTGTACACCTTTTGTTATAGATATCCACTTTTGAGGTATAGCCGGGGCCTTGTTGCCGGCGTTGTTATCATTGTCTTTTGTATCCTTAGAGGCTCCGTAGACGTTTGTGTGGGTTATG